TATGCACCCATGGACTACAGTTTTGAGTGCTACTACCCAAATAACCATTAGGAAAATGTTCATTTTATTCCATTGTATTGTGTTCAAATTCTGCTTTGCTGGAAACCAGATTCACTTAATCATCAGTAGTGAATTAAACAGGATGCACACACACAAAAAAATAGGATGCACAGTATCAATGGAACATAATCATTTCAGAAATCTACCCTCTTTATTTTTTTTTTTCTTTTTAGAGACAGAATGAGTTGGGAGGGGCAGTGAGAGAGGGAGACAGAATTTTAAGCAGACTGAACACCCAGCGTGGAGCCCAAATGTTGGATCCCACAACCCTGAGATCATGACATGAGCTGAAATTGAGTCGGAAGTTTAACCAACTGAGCCACCTAGGTGCCCCAGAAATCTACTCTCTTGATTTTTCTCTTTGAAACCAATTTTAGGAAAGAAACTTTTTTTATTCTGTGTACAAGTAGAATGAATTTGACTTAAAAAAATTTAGGGCATCTGGCTGGCTCAGTTGGAAGAAAAGGCAACTCTTGATCTCTGGGATGAGTTCAGGTCCCACAATGGGTGTAGAGATTACTTACATAAAGACATAAACTTTTTTAAAAAAATGATTTTTCTATTAACACCTGAAACTAATATATATTAACTAACTGGAATTAACATTAAAACTTTTAAAAAGGTTTTCTCTGAGAAAACTTAAAAGGATATGACTGGACTAATTTCGTCTGTGAGGAAATATTGAGTGTTCAGAACGTGCCAGAAACTTCTGGTTGTGGAATTTATAAACTGGTTTGAGGAACTGGACTTCTTGAGGAACTATAGGTAATAAGGATTAACCAAAAGCAGAGTCTTGCTCTTTCCTAAGTATGATTTTTATGTGAATAGTTTATGTATGTCTCCTGTTCCTGAACAACTGTAATACTGCTTTTTGACTTAAACATTTATTTAAAGATTTATTTATCTATTTTAGAGACCCCTTGATTATGCATGCACAGGGTGTGGGGGCGGGCACAGGGAGACGGGAAGGTAATTCCAAGTATACTCCCCACCAAGCGCTGACTCCAACAAGGGACTCAGTCCCACAACCCCGAGATCATGACCCAAGCTGAAACCAAGAGTCAGACACTCAACCATCTGAGCCACCCAGGCACCCTTTGACTAAACATTTAATCATAATTCCCACATTATTTAAAGTGATTTGCAGTTATTTATTTTTTTATATAGTAATCTCTTATAACCCTGAGATAAGAGTCGCATGTTCTCCTGATTGAGGAAGCCAGGTGCCCCTAAAGTGATTTGCAGATTATTCTAAAGACTGTAGTTGTTGGTAATTAGAATACCAGGTTGTTAAAAATTAAAAATGCATGTAGAATGTAATACGCTACAGGGGTAAGGTAAAAAGCAAAAGTTAACCCGTTTTCTTCTGAAACTTGCTTTATTCTTATTTTTTTACTTGTAAATTTTTTTAAAGATACTTATTTGAGAGAGAGTGAGCTCGAGCAGGGGGAGAGGCAGAGGGAGAGAGAAAGGAAAAAAAGCAGATTCTCCGCTGAGCATAAAGCAAAAACCCTGTAACTACTAAAGCCTGTAAAAACAATTTTGTCAGCAAGGTTTACAATTTAGAATGACCCTGTGACAGTTTGGAAGTAAATAGAATAATAACATATTTAAAGAAAGAAAATGCAATGCTAAATTTTATACCCAGCAAAACCAACTTAGAACCGACTCTAGAAATAAGAGGGCACAGGCAAACTGTTACCAACATGCAAGAGAAACTTGTTCTAAGTAATAGATTAGAGATAAACCCTAAGAAACTATAATACTTAAGGTGTAGAATTTAAGCATTAATAACCACAAAAAGACAATGTCATTTATATATAGTCTTCCAAAAGATTCACACATGGATCTGATCAAGGCTTTGGTCCCAGGTTCCAATTTCAGGGAAAAAAAACAAGAATATGTGGAATTGTACTAAGAGTATGAAATTGTGGAAAATCCAGATTGGGAAACTTCAGGTCGTGTACCCTGTATTCTTCAAAGAATAAATTTGAATTTAAAGGGATGGAAGGGAAACTTACCTAAAAGGGGTGCTTGGGTGGCTCAGTCAGTTAAGTGTCTGCCTTCGGTTCAGGTCATGATCTCAGGGTCCTGGGATCGAGTTCCTCATCTCTCTCCCTGCTCAGCCCTTCCCCTGCTTGTGCGCCTGCTCCCTCACACAGGTAAAATTAAAGTGATTACTATAAAGTTAGAATAATAGTTACTTTGGGGGTTGGAAAGGTTTTAAGAATGGAATGCTGCACGTGCGGCTCTGAGTTTTGAGATTTTAGAGACTAAGCTGCTCTGGCACCTTAAGACGTTTTTATGAGTACCATTGGGGTTCCTTGACACCCAAGTTTACTATCTAGTTGCTTTTATGTGGGGATTCAGGAACATTCAAAAACTGCTTTGCTGTTGCTTTTTCTTCTAGGAAACCCAGGGGTTCCCCCTGCCCGCAGTAGTTTCTTTGCATTTAGGATGCTGGCCATTTTACACCCCCCCCCAGCAGATATTTCATGGGTAAGGTGCCTTAATGATCAGAGGTAGGGTGAAATGTGACCTAAGCTCATTTGGTTATTTGTAAAATTTTGGGAAATATGTTCCTTCTTCAGTAAAATTTTAAACAGTGGTATCACTAGTGTGTAAACTCTGAGGAATCCTGTCTCTTCCTATTTTTCCTCTGAAGTGGCCTTGGTGTACCTAGTACTCAACAGATACTCAATAAATGTTCAGGGAAAAATTTATAAATTTGTAGTAATTTATTCTTTAGAAGATGTGTTCCTTGGAGCAACATTAATGGACCTTTGTGGGTTCACTTGTTTTTACTGTTGCTCAGATCTTGATTAAATTCTTAGAGTAAGTATGGGCATTGAAAGCTATTCCACTGACTTTAGCCAAGCTTTTGAGGTTGAGGTCATTATTATTTTTCTGTTAACAATTCATGATTCTTGTAGCAAATTTAGTAACCACATAGAATTGGAGAAAATAGATTATATACTTAAATTCAGAGATGGCAACCATTGTTAGCACCTTTTTACTTGTGTATCTGGATGTTTCTTTACCAGCCTTTCCAAATGGAGTTCCATGGGTATTAATCCTTAATATCCTAAGGCATTCTTTATATGTAATGAGTTGTCTACTTCTAGATTGGTACTAGCTATGTACCATCTTTGTAAAAAGTGAGAGAATAGTCCGATTTCCGTTCTGTGGTTCCAAGGAGTATATTTGAAGAGGACGTTATTGTTTGGTGTTTTACACTCTTGTTCAGTTTCCTGATGTCATGTAGAACCATCCTCTTTCCCCTCACAGGTAATTGCTAATTCAAATTAGGAAGATTTTTCCTATACTTATTATTATTTACTGTAATATGTAGAATATTTATTTTTGGTGAAAATATTTGTAGAAAATTGGCTTAAGTTCTCCCCACTTAAAATAATAGCATACCTTAACCAGCAAGTAATATTTGAAACCAGTTAGGCCTTTCACTACATTTTTTTTTTTGACATTCTAAAGATGCTTTCTGGGACTCAGAGTTGAAAGGGTGTTGGTGACTCTGTGCTACTGTTCAGTAAATTTTTATTGCGTAGTCTAAAAAAATTAACTATTGTTTATAAAGCTATAATTCAGAAACAAATCAAGTAAAGACAATTTCTTGAATTTTAGAAAGGCTAGGAGGGAAAAGCAATTGTTAACAGCTTTAAAAAATCTGGGTACTAGTTGTGAAATGAGTAGGTGTTTTAAGGATCAGAATATTAGTCTGTATAAATGATGTTATGCTACCTCTTTTGTCACATATATATGTATATAGAAGGTATTTTTACATAATCCATGAACTAGTTTGTCATTCTCCTGGGGATTGGAAAGATAATATACTAGACACTGGTACCTCATTTGAGTGTCAAAGGGATGGATGGGAAATAAATCTTAAGAATGCGGGCCCATCTTAAACTCTGTTTAGTTTTGGTAGTTGGAGTGGGAAGGAGCAGCAGATACAAAAGCTAAAAGAATGTCAAAATGTTTCCACTTGAAAAAGACCTAAAAGATGATAGTATCATGAATCTCCATGTAATTATGACTGAACCTTCATATACATAAAAAATTTTTGTTTTGAAACAATCTGAGGAAAGTTGTACTCTTAGTTCTCCTGGTCCTCTTTTGATTCATGCAGTGTTTTATCTGCTAGTTTTATCATCATCACCATCTAGTATTAACAAATATCCTAGCTGTATTTTGTAGATTATCACATAAAAAGTAGGTCAAGAGTCATTGCATTCTATAAAATGATGGTATTGTTACTTAAGGTATCTCTGGCATATTATAAATCAATTAATGTACCAGAAATATTTCCAGAGTGAATGATTTGGGTCTATATATTGCCTTAGTATAATAAAGTTAATTATACTTGAAGGGGAGAGTGTCTGTTGAACAAATTTAGCTAAAGAATGGTTTGTGGGCAGAATTTGGAGTTTTGTAGATCTTTGGAATAGGTGAGCCTCATTTTAATAATAGCAATGTATAAGAACGTGGAATTCTTGATATATGGCAGAGAATGGTTAGGTTAGTATGACAGGGAAGGTTAAAAATACAATGAAAAGTTGGTGGTAGAGAGCTTAAGGGATTCTGAATTGCTTGAGGACTTTAGAACAAAGAGGGCTCATTTGAAATGAATAATATCCTTAATTGTGTTGCTAGTCTTCCCCACCCACTGTCCCGTGAAATGGTAGTCTAGTGCTGCTGGAATAGACTAGGGAAGATGGAGCCTGAATGTGTATAAGGATGCATATATTCAGGAGCTCTCCTCTCTAAAATAGTAATGTACTTGCTGCCGTGAGAGCTCTTTATGTTCACTGATACTCTAGTTAGTCACAGTGGTTCAAAATAAAGAGTAGAAAGTTTTATCAAGGAGTATTTTGATTTTATCTTTTTTTTCCCCACCTGAATGCATTTTTTTTCCCTTCTAGTTTTTCAGCTTTGTGAGGAACCTTACCATCAAAGAAAATGGCCAGCAATGTTACCAACAAGACAGATCCTCGCTCCATGAACTCCCGTGTATTCATTGGGAATCTCAATACTCTTGTGGTCAAGAAATCTGATGTGGAGGCGATCTTCTCAAAATACGGCAAAATTGTTGGTTGCTCTGTCCATAAGGGCTTTGCCTTCGTTCAGTATGTTAATGAGAGAAATGCCCGGGCTGCTGTGGCAGGAGAGGATGGCAGAATGATTGCTGGCCAGGTTTTAGGTAAGATCTGGGTTGAATTTCTTCGTTGACTGTTTGAGATACAAGGTTTTCCTGTTCATGCTTCTGTTTTTCTCTCCATTAAGCTAAGTAAAAAAAATTTAGGTTATAGGTATAACTGGCTAAATAAGGATTTTATTCCTTTTTGTGTAGCAGAAACTGGATAACGAGTTGGTGGTCTTGAGTAAGGTCAGGAGGATAGGAATGATAATACTACGTCAGGTACAGTTACTGCCTAAATAGCTGTCCTCCCGCTCACAGTAGAATGGGCAGACTATAGCTTAGTCACTCATGGGCTGTGGAGTCAGATTACTTGACACAACTGTGTGTTGGGCAGTCCACCTAATTTGGTGAGTCTTCTCATCTGTTAAAACAGAGGTAGAGTACGTAGTCTGTTTTCTGTTCTTACCTGAGGTAATAGTACTTTGGTGTTACCAAGAATTTGGATTAATTAGGATGATTCATGAGAATCTTCTAATACAAGTCTAACATGTTACGCTCAATAAAAGATACTGTTGCATATGTTTTAGCATTAGCAGTACAAGCTGGTTTTGTCTTAGGTGTTAGTTTCCCCAATAAGGGGTCTCCTGATCTACCATGTTCAAATGTTTGGAAGATGAGATCTGAGCTCTGCTCAGATGTTTATATTCTAATCTTTAGAAAATCTCATTACATGTTAAGACTTTAGAGCACATAAGTATGTTCTTGATGATTGTAGAATTTCATCTCCTTGAATAGTCTTCTAACCACGTATCAGTTGCTAAGATTTGCTGTCAGAATCATAGTTAATTTTATATAGCTTATATTTTCCTGGGTGTGAATATTAGGGAAGCTGAAAGGTTTGTAAGACAAAAGTCTATTTCTTTTTGCTTTTTATGAATAAGAGAGAATAAGCACACAAGACCTCTTGAGTGCCAAAGAATGGCTAGTTCCATTGTTGATAAGGTATTGCTTAGCAGTTAAACAGAATTACTACTTTAGATTTATAAAGTTTATAGCAATTCATAATTGAGACTTTTTTTAATTGAGAGTTTTCTGATTTTTCCTGTGGTGGCTTATTTAAATTTTCATTTTGTTTTCAGCATATTCAGGAGTTTGTATTTGGTTTTTTTAAATGCATAATGTTCAAGTTTAATTCCACCTTTAATGTTTTATTTTCTACCTGGCTTCCTCTCTTCAGGTTGCAGTGGATTTTTGTCCCCTTAAGTGTTTCCATGTTGGTGTTTCCCTATAGTACTACACAAAACTTCAGCATTTCATAATGTTTGTAGCATTTAATAAATACTTCTTACATAACATGATTTATTGTAAAGTTTCAACAGTTCTTTTTTTTTTAAATAAGTGACAGCTCCATTCTTGTAGTAAACAGCATTACTCTTCATAGCAGGAGCAGCTCTTCTAAGATTTTTTGTTTTGTTTTTAATATTTTTTTATTTGACAGCACAAGCAGGGGGAGCACGGGAAGAGGGAGAAGCAGGCTTCCCACTGAGAAGGGAGCCAGATGTGGGTCTCCATTCCAGGACCCTGGAATCATGACCTGAGTTGAAGGCAGACACTTAACTTGAGTTCCCCAGGCTCCCTCTTTATTTTATTTTCGTGAGGGGGAGGGGGCAGAAGGAAAGGGTAAAAATCTGAAGCAGGCCCCCCTGAGCACGGAGCACGATGCCCTACGGGGCTCCCATCTCATAACCCTGAGATCATAACCTGAGCCAAAACCAACAGTCGGATGCTTATCTGGCTGAGCCACCCAGGCGCCCCTCACTTTTTATACTATTTTGAATGTTTGATTATGGTCTCTCAGTGGCTCTTTCATGCTAGAATAAAAGTTTTGTGTAATTTGTAAACACTTCTTAAATACTATTTTTAAAAATCCTAACCATACTGGGGGCACCTGGGTGGCTCAGTCGTTGAGCGTCTGCCTTCGGCTCGGGTCGTGATCTCGGGGTCCTGGGGTTGAGCCCCGCATCGGGCTCCCTGCTCAGCGGGAGGCTTGCTTCCCCCTCTCCTACGCCCACTGCTTGTGTTCCCTCTATCGCTGTGTCTCTCTCTGTCAAATAAATTTAAAAAAAACTTAAAAAAAAAAAATCCTAACCATACTGGATTGGGAAGGAAAAATATTGGAAGAGAGCCTTGTAATCCTTGACATTGAAGATACATAGAATAGTTGTAATTGAGAATACATAAGAAATTTTCATACCCATTTGTCCTATAACCAAAGAACAGGAAAATACATGTATAAAATTTGGGCATCTGTAAAATGGCTGCAGTGAAAATGAACTAAAACAGGAGTTTTGCATCATAAAGACAGGGTTTTTTTGATACTTGTTTTTTTTAAACTGTCATGGAAATGTAACACAAAAGTAGAATTTAATGAATCGTGTATAAGTACATCTCACCTAGTTTTATTTTTTTTTTTTTGTAAGATTTTACACAGGGAACACAAGCAGGGGGAGTGGGAGTGGGAGAGGGAGAAACAGGCTTCCCTCCTGCTGAGCAGGGAGCCCAATGCAGAGCTTCATCCCAGGACCCTGGAATCATGACCTGAGCCGAAGGCAGACGCTTAACAACCGAGCCACCCAGGCAACCCACATCTCACCTGGTTTAACAGATACCAGTATTTAAATTGTTTTCATCTGTTCTTTCTATTGGTTTTCTTTTAAATTTTGTTAGAGTAATTTTAAGACGTCGGCATATATCCAACCAGATAAGAAATTTTAACAAAAGGCAAACCACACTGCTCTTACAGCATATTAAAAAAACCTCACAGTAATTCCTTAATACCATCAAATATTTAATCCATATTTAGATGGCTTTATTGTCTCAACCTTTTTTTTTTTTAAGATTTTATTTATTTATTTATTAGCGAGCGAGAGAGAAACAGCATGAGAGGGAGGAGGGTCAGAGGGAGAAGCAGGCTCCCCGCTGAGCCGGGAGCCGTTGCGGGACTCCATCCCAGGACCCCGGGATCATGACCTGAGCCGAAGGCAGTCGCTCAACCAACTGAGCCACCCAGGCGCCCCACCCCTTATGTCTTTTAAATCTGAGTTTCCCCATCCCTTCTTTCCCATTTAAAAAGTTTGACATTTAATTTGTTGAAGAAAGCCTCAGTGTCTTCCATACTGTGTACTGATTTGATCCTTTGTGGTGTCATTTAATTTGTTCTTCTCTACCTCTGTTTTGTGTAATACTGCTAGATCTAGAGCAGTGCTGTCCAGTAGAAATATAAACATGTATACTTAAAATGCATCTGAATTGAGACTTGTGGCTAGCAGCTTACTATATTGGACTGTGCAGATCTAGAGGCTTGATTCAGTTACAGTGGATAATGTTAACGTATTTTATATTGTATCACACCTAACATGATTGCAACCTAACATGGTTGCCCATTTTTAGTGATGTTAAGGATATTTTGGGTTCAGGTTTTAGATCTTGATCCATCTGTGATAAAAAGTTTCCCATCAGTTTTTCACCTTAATGGTGATCATCCATTGATGATCATTGATTAGATATTTCATTAGGGGTTGCAGAAGAGTAGGTTTCTAGTTTCCTTCTGCATAACTTTTCTGAAATGAACAACTCACTAATATTTGCTTTTTCTGAAATACCATTTATGTTGGAAAGTTTTTAGCAGGGGGGTGGGGTAGGAGGGGCAGCAAAGCAAGGTTTATTGAGCAATAGCAAAGTGATAGTACAAAGCTCCCAAGGAGGGAAGGGACCCGAGGGGGTTGCCTAGCCTTTTTTTTGTGTGTTGTTTTTTTTTTAAGTAAGTTCTGTAAGCTCTTTCCCATCATGGGCTTGAACTCAAAACCCCTAGATCAAGAGTCACATGCTGTACTGACTGAGCCAGACAGGTGCCCCCATAATATTAATTCCTCTAATAATTTAAATTGATGTGTTTTAGTACATTCCATATCCTTCTTTAGAGCTCAAAATACTTCATCTGTGGCCAGTGTAACCTGTGTCCTTGAGACCTTACTTTTATAATTTCATTGCATCCTTGCTTTCTGGCACCACAAGATACTCCAGGTGATCTGATGTATTTTTTGACCTAAATCTCGATTTGCCACTTACTGAAATAATGGGAATTATATAGAAGCCACTGTCTGTACACCAGAAGTATCTATAATTCAATTTTAATTGCTTCTGTCTAGTTTTCAGGCAGAATAGGAAGCACTTTTTTTTTTAAGAAAAAATTGTGTGTGATTAGTACCACAGTTTCAAAATAACTATGCCTTTTTGTTTGTTTTTTTACTAAAATTAAGATTACTAAATGCATTTTTAGATTTGAGAGTGGGCCTGCTGGGAGTAGGGCTGGGGGACACTGCCTGGAGCCTACTTAAAAAATAAAAATAAAAAATAAAAAATAAAAATAAAAAAAGTCAACTGTAAAGGCAAGGTTGTTAACGTTGGATGCTAAAAATTGGAAATGAGTTTAGTGAACCAAGAACTCTGCAGATTCTTCATAAATGTAATGGTGTTCAGCAAATAGTGTACTAAAAATCTGTTTTTTAGTTGGTCATTTGATGAACTAAGTTTTGGAGAGCTGGCTTTTGACCAACGGATTCTTGTTAGAACAAGAAAGAGATATGAATTCTTTTGTTTGGTAGGCAGTGGGTGGCAGGGTTATATAGCTGGCCATGTTGGAATAGTTGTTTTTAATAACATTAGTTGTTTATGGAAACTAGGACTTTTCCTTTGTTCCCTTAAGTCTCCCTTGGTGTGTGTGTCTGTGCGTGTGTGTGCACACAGACAAGTGCACACACAAATGTGTATGTAAAGGTTCAGCAATTCACTGAATAGTATTTTTTTTAATGAAGTCTCCATTTTTTTTTTCTTTTTCAAAGATTTTATTTATTTGACAGAGAGAGAGACAGAGAGGGAACACAAGCAGGGGAAGCAAGAGAGGGAGAAGCAGGCTCCTGGCTGATCAAGGAGCCCGATGAGGCGTGGGACTCGATCCCAGCACCCCCAGGGTCATGACCTGAGCTGAAGGCAGACGCTCAACGACTGAGCCACCCAGGCGCCCCCTGAATAGTATTTATTAACTATTTTTATTCAACTTTTACAGCTGATCCTGTTTGTAAGGAGAATGAAAATTCGCCTTTGGGGATAATTTGAGGGTATCAATAATTCGTGAATTGCTATATATTTTATATCTCTGAGGTCATTCATTGATTCCTAATATATGCTCTTAATAGCAAGTTTCATTTAGCGGGAGCTGAGGGTAGAAGGTACCAAAGAGAAATGTCGTGTCTTATATATGAGTGTGTGTGTCTTATATATAATGAGTACTTTTTACGTTAACAGTACAGAGGACAAAGTATTGAAATACTAAGTACTAGCCTTACATAAGGAAGGATGAGATACAGTGTTCGGCCTTTGTTGATTTATATACTATGTACACCTTTAAATACTGTAGTTTAAAATTCTACCCTGTCCCTGCCCCAACAGAGTTGTCATTAAAAGTTTTTGTCTTCATTTTTGTTTTTTCAGATATTAATCTGGCCGCAGAGCCAAAAGTGAACCGAGGAAAAGCAGGTGTGAAACGATCTGCAGCGGAGATGTACGGGTCAGTACCAGAACACCCTTCTCCGTCCCCTCTACTCAGGTCCGGAACTTTATTATTTATAACTGCATTGTGTCCATCAGTGGGCATCTTCTCTATCTGTTTTCTGGATGTGGGGAGGGTTAACTGTAGTATGTTTTATCTGTGTAAAAATGCTTTATTAATTTTGTATTAGTATACCTCCTTTTCGCCCATTTCCCAGAGAATTACTAGAATTCCCTGAGATTTTTTACTTACTAAGGAGCAGTTTGCTATTTTTAACATACAATGAAATCTTTGAGAGTTGTTTAGTTTGTATAAGAAGCTGGGAACTATGAAAGGGAAGGGAGGGTAGCATAAGAATGTTTGGTTTACTGTTGTATTTTTCAGTGTTCTTATATTAGCTATTATGTTTTATGTTGAAATTGTAGCAGATTTACGCCTAAATTTGCAAATTAGCTGCTGCATGTCCAGTGGCTTCTAAGATGATTGGAATTTTAGTGATTTGTTGCTTAAATGATTGGGGATTATTCCATGCTAATCTCTTGATCTATTTGTTATGGTTGGTTTTGCATGGTTTTTTGTTTTTGTTTTTCCCATCTGCTATTGTCAATTTACATCAACAGCTCCAAATTAATCCTCTTCGGTATTTCTTTTTCAGCTCCTCTTTTGACTTGGACTATGACTTTCAACGAGATTATTATGACAGGTATGTTAAAGTTGTTTTGTCTATTCTGGTAAAAAGCCATTTAGTAAGAACCATTTATTTTTCTGTTTTGTAATGAACATTCTCTTTGTAGTAACGAACAACAAACATGTTGTCAAAGTCCCCCCCCGATAAACAAAATGAAAAATACCTTCCTGCAAATTGTCTGGGTTATACTAGGGTGACATTTCTGTTGATTTCAAAGAATCAGTTTATATAGTGTCAGGGCATATGGGAACATGTCCAGTATTATATTTGAGTTTGTGTGCCAGACTTGCCAAATGACAAAATAGGACTGAATTAGCATTTCCATGTTCTCTTCATTATTTCCCTATTGCATACTTGCCATTTGGCTTTGCATTGTAGGGCATTACAGCAAAACTACTTAAAAAAAGATCCGTAAGTCTCCCTTGAGCAAACCAACTAATAGAAAATAGGATACAGTAAGCATACATAAATGAATTAACAATATAAATTGCTTTAGGGTTATATAAAGTGTTGAAGACTTGTAGATTAGGGGTGGTGGTTGACAGCATTCTAAAAGCCAAGGTGGTAGGAACAATGGTTGATTTGTGTGTGTGTGTGCCTTCAGAAGAGCATTAGTATTTGTTGAAGAGACTTGAGAAATCGGAAGATGTGTGGATAGGGATACATTATGGACAATTATGAATTAGAGATTTAGATGTGATGATATAGGAGTTATTGTGGAATGACATAATACACAAAAGATACTAGTAACATTGGCATTCTGTTAACATTAGTCCTCGTGAACATTAAGAAAATACTAAGTTTATTTGGTTTCCTGCTTTTTTAATTACGCATTATATGGAGGTATATGGAGCATACCTCCTATATTGGACTTGATCTAGTATGAATTTTCCTTTGCTTTTTCATCTTAGGTTTTCGGTATTCCAATCATAAGTATGATGTTAATATATATAAGAATTTCAATTAGATCAATTTTTGCTTTGGAAATAAAAATAATGTCTTGATTTGGGAATGTTTCCCTAAACTAGAACTTTTGGAACTGAGTTGATTAGTCACGCCAAGGGAGTCGGGTAATGGAATCAAGTCAGTCAGTAAACGCTATGAGTAAGGCCTGAACATGTATACTTTTTGTGTTTGAGAGAGATATGGACTGCAACAAGCTAGTAATTAATAGGCCAAAAAAATAAGACTGGAAAAATAGTTTGGACCTACATTGTTAAGATCTTTAAATGCCATATTAAGGTTGCATGATTGACTATTCTTCATGCATCATCAGAATGGTTCTTTCATTTGTCCTTAGAGATTTCTTCACATATTTGTGTCTATTTATGTTTGAATACATATATTGAAAACTGGTGATTCTCATACTTTGAAAATATTAAAATATAAAATGAGAACAGATCTGGGCATCTCTTTGCTACTGAAAATGTGATCATTGGGTGAGTGACTTGAAGGCACTGAGACCTACTAAGTTAATCTGAAGCAGCTACCCTTCACCACACACTCTGCTTAAAAAATACTCATGCCCAGGGCGCCTGGGTGGCTCAGTTGGTTAAGCGACTGCCTTCGGCTCAGGTCATGATCCTGGAGTCCCTGGATCGAGTCCTGCATCGGGCTCCCTGCTCGGCAGGGAGTCTGCTTCTCCCTCTGACCTTCCTCCCTCTCATGCTCTCTGTCTCCCATTCTCTCTGTCTCAAATAAATAAACAAAATCTTTAAAAAAAAAAAAAAAAATACTTATGCCCAACTATACCTATAGGGATTCTGGTATACATGGTATATAGGTAGATTCTTCAGTATTGAGGTGTGTGTGTGTATATATGTATGTATGTATTTATTATTATGTTAATCACCATACATTACATCATTAGTTTTTGATGTAGTGTTCCATGATTCGTTGTTTGCATATAACACCCAGTGCTCCATGCAGTACGTGCCCTCTTTAATACCCATCACCAGGCTAACCCATCCCCCCACCCCCCTCCCCTTTAGAACCCTCAGTTTGTTTCTCAGAGTCCATAGTCTCTCATGGTTTCTCTCCCCCTCCGATTTCCCCTCTTCATTCTGTCCTTCCTGCTATCTATATATATATATTTTTTTTTTGAAGTTTTTCAAGAAATTTGATGTCAGAGTCGAGAGTAAGAAGGGATGGGGAAGTAGTTTCATTTCTGTAATTCTTAGCCTGTATCTTTGTTCATGGCCCCCTTTAGAAAAATTCTAATACATTTATATATATATATAATAAATAATTGGGGGTGTACCATAGACTGTCACACAAACTCCTGTTTCCTGTTTTAAATTGAGTGATAGAGAATTTTAACATGTACAATCCTACCTTTTTCATGAGAATAGCGATCTAAAGTTTTACTTTTTAGTTGTCCTGTTGAGGCAGCAAAACTTTGGACCGTCCCTACCATCATCCCACTATAAGTTCGGAAAAGATTGTTTTGAGTGAGGACTTCTGAAGGGTTAATTGAAAAGAGCTGTAAACAGCAGGGAATAGAGAAGAAATTTAGATGTTTGCAGAAATACCTTCAAATTTCTTTCCACTGCTATCTGATCCTAAAAGTTGGTGGCAGTGCCACTATTGGCCTCGCTCTTTCGTTTTTCAAGAGGCAAGAGAATAACTTTAGTCAGTCTGATGTATTGCTTGATTTTATATAGGGTTGGTGAAAAGTAATGTCTTTCTCCTTCCATTCTAATCTCAGCCAGTAGAAAAAGACTTCTGATAACTAATCGAGCAACAACCAGGCAGTATCTGGGAAAGAGCCGATTCAAGTATATTACTAAGGTCTGTGATGGGAAAATGAACCTGTTTGGTCAAAAAAAGAACTAGTCAGGAAAATTGCATTAGTTTCTTCTCAGAAGTCATTCTGAAGATAATTTGCAAGGTTAAGACTTTTGTTATTGTCTTTGTTGCTAACATAATGATCCTAAATCAGCTGTGTTGGATTCTTTATTAAAGCAGAATGGAAAATTGGCTCTGAGATGAGCTGAAAGCTCTGGGTCTTCCTATGTAAGTGGGGTTAAATCAGTGTCTACCTAATCTCTTTAGTCATACCCTTAAAAACATAAAATTCACATAAATGTTTCAAGACATATATGGCATTTCTTTAGGTTTGGGGGGTTTTTTTTGTTCTTTTAAGATTTTATTAGAGAGCTTGAATGAGCTGGGGGAGAGGGAGAAGCAGACTCCCTGCTGAGCATAAAACCTGACGCAGCCTGATGACTGGCTCCATCCCAGGACCCAGATCATGACCTGAGCCAAAGTGAGATACTTAACCGACTGAGTCACCCAGGTGCCCCAGATCATTTCTTTGTTATCTAGCTTTCTGCGATTTTGAGTTCTACTTATTCTTACGGTGGAGAGGCAGCTGATAGAGGGCCTAGGAAAGAAACAGTTGAAGAATCTAAAGGCGTATTTAGCAAAGAAGTTTATGACCGAAGTCATATGTAATCACAATTTTCTTATCCCTAAAATGGAAATAATGCTTACTAATAGAGTGGGTATGAAGACTAAAGGAAACCTGAAAGATAAGAAATTGCATTTTAAGGGCGTCTGGTGGCTCAGTCGATTAAGCGTCTGCTTTCAGCTCAGGTCATGATCCCCGGGTCCTGGGATCAAGTTTCACATTGGGTTTCTGCCCCTTCTCCCCTACTTGGGCTTTCTCTCTGTCTGTTTCTCAAATAGAATCTTTAAAAAAAAAATTAAAAATTGCATTATAAATGTAACAACGCCCAAATATTGTAACTATTAACAACCAATCAGTGAAGACCTTGAGGATTCATTCCTGTTGATTATCAAGATTTCTTACATGCTAAATTTGCTGAAAGTTATACTTCTGAATTAGTAGTTTTATTAATCCTATTAACACTGACACATACTATTTTGTTGACACTTAGTAAAATGAAGGGACTATGGATACCCCACCAGTGCTCTTCCCAAAAAACTGACATCTGTAGCATAACTTGTTCTTTATGTGTGACAGTAGTCTTACCAACTAATGCATAGTAAAATGAACAATGGTTAGTGTTTGTTTTCTAGACACCTTTTTATTTTAACTCTGTCTTCTAAAACATCTCAATTTAAATATATGTAAAAGAACAGATGGGGCACTTGGGTGGCTCAATCAGTTAAGCATGTGACTCTTGATTTCAGCTCAGGTACTGATCTCAGGGTTGTGAGATTGAGCCCCTCCTTGGGCTTCACACTGGGCGTGAAGCCGGCTTAAGATTCTCTCTCTTCCTCTCCCCCCACCCCCCAAAAAAGAATAGTGCACAGTAAAAGATAAAGACTGCTTTTATAAACATAATCCCAGTACCATTTATAGTTAAAATAATATTTCTTAATCTCATCTGCTTTCCACAGACTTGATACTGTGGGTTATATTTTAGCATGTTTCTCTGCCACCTGTATTTTGTCTGACCTGCTGGATAGATTTGCAGGCTTGATAAGATTTCAGGTTCTATTTTCTTTTTTTTTCCTTTCCTTTAGGGATGAGGGAACATGATGGGGTTGTGGGAAAGAAGAGCAGAATACTTCATTAAAGGCATTATGCATTTTAGTTATCATTAGCCTGATTTTTGACAAATTTTAAGAATGCAGGAAGCATTGGGTGTTGTATAAGGAGATATACTTTAGATATCAGGAAGTATGTAATTAACAGTTGTTTTCTTAGGAGAGTTAGAATGACCTGTATTTTTGTTTGGGGATGAGCGGGCATTTTTGATCAAGTCCCAAGGATTGTAAATACTTTACCTTTAAAACTGGAGGGTAATCAAATGTTAAGACTTAACCAAGTCACTTATATTTTAGTATGTTGTCTACTGAGGAGACAACGGGATCAGATTCTGTAGCTTTATGCTACATCCTGCAGTGATTTTAATTCAGAGTATAGGCGGAAAAGTTAAAACTGTTACCTGTGATCATTAAAGATTACCATAGTTTGGAAGGATTCTCAGTACAGGGTGCTGTTCTTCCAAAGTTAAATAAAGGTATTTCTTAATATCTTAGCA